GTAATCATAGTTGTAGTTGTTACTTTTGGGATTTGGTAGGAATACCTTGTAGACATGTTGTTGCTGCCATACATTATAAGTTAGAAAACCCAGAGATTATGTTCATCCATGTTCCAATCAATGGACAACAACTTTGGCCTACATCCGACACTGCTCCACTACTACCACTCACTTATAAAACACCTCTTGGGAGGCCTAAAAAGTTAAGAAGAAGAGAAGCTGATGAATATGTCAGCCATTCAAAGTTGTCCAAGAAAAATATTGGTATGAAGTGTAGCAGTTGTAATGCATATGGACACAATGTAAGAAGTTGTAAAAAGGAGCAGAAAAGCAAGGTAACTTCCTGAACATGTTATTTACAAGTTCATTTATATATAAGTATGTCAAATCTAACTACCTTACTCCTTTCACAGGACACAAGAGGCGCATCTGCAACAACATCTGCATCAGCTACAAGGGGAGCATCTACATCAACTGGAAGGAGAGCATCTGCAAGAAGAACTGCATCAGGTGAAAGGGGAGGATTTGCATCAACTGGAAGGAGAGTATCTGCAAGAAGAACTGCAGCCGCTGGTGGACTATCTACATCAACCTCACAAGGTCAAACAACATCACGAATGAGAGCAGGCACAGATGCAGGGGCTGTATCAACATCACAACCTGGAGGGGCTGCACGTATGCGTGAAGGGGGAAGAAGAACATCCTCAAAGCGAGTTGCAATTGATTTTCTAGTGTAGGCATGCCACTTTTTTAATGCTATAATGTACTGATTGTGACCCACTTAGGGAGACCATTAGTAATGGGCACAATATTTTTTGGACCACTTGTTTGTCATGTAGTGTAACACATGCAATGTTAATTAAAGTAGTCGGGGACCACTTGTTATTGTTGACTCAATTGTTCTGTTATTTATAGTGCTCTGGGACCACTTCTTTATATTCAATGCAATGCTTTAGGACCACTTGGATGACATTTTATTCTTCACTGTCCATTTTAGTCATTGTGCTTTAAATTGCTTGTTGGAGTAGTTATTTTGAAAGCATTAGGGGGTTGGAATCTCATAATAGACAGAGTTGCTATTTTTGATGTATCTTTTCAGGTTCAATAATCTTGGAAGATTGATGTTATAAGTGAAAAACCTTATCAGGTTCAATACTGGTGCTTTCTGCTATCACATTTTTTTTCTACATTCAGCATTCACAGACTTACATTAGGTTGTGAACTATGGGAATGCTATCAAACTCTTTGATTTAAAATAACAACTATAATCACATAACACAAATGCACATAACACAAACATCAGGGCTAAATTGAATTGGGCAGAATTGAACTCAACTTCCACATTTTATTGAATTTAAAACTTCAAAGTACATCCACAACACAACATTACCAATCTAATTACAATTTATCTTCAGCACAAACATAATAGAAAACATCACTATTAATGCCCATGACAATACAAACAAGACCAACATCATTTTGAACTTTTTTCTCTCTTGCTCTAATTTCCTCTTCAACTTGTCCTTCTTCTTCCTTAGATCCAATACAACATTTTCATTACAGACTTCAACTTCTTCACTCTTCCTTTGTAAGCTTCCTTCAATTTTTGAGTCTCTTTCATCAACCCATTCAAAGTAGTTACATCTTGAATTACTCTGTAAAAGAAATTACAAATCATGAATACAAACTTCATCACAATAAGTAAAACATTTTCTCACTTACTGCCCAATTTCTAAATCTATAAAATAGTCTTCCTTTGTTCTTCAATGTAGTTGCCTTCAACATCAACAATCTTTCCCCACAACACAATTTTTTGAAGCTAAGTGAGAGGAGGATCCACATGTTTGGGACATTCCAGAACCAATACGCCTTCACGTGCAACCATATCCTCCTCTGTCAGCTTCCATTTCCCTGATACAGTAATTTCCAAAGTAAATCAACTTCGACTACTCCCAACAAAAACCCTATATCCCAAATCCATCTATTCACACGAAACAAAACAGGAAAATGAACTTACGCGACCAACTACACCAATGCTCAAGAAGATGAAATCCAACCTTTTGTGATTCACCTTCAACCTTCTTTCCAGCTGAAATGATGTGCTCGTCTTTGCTCTTCAACCTTCAGACCACACTTTCAACCAAAATTTACCAATGAACCTAATAAAGCAAAGTTCTCAGTTTACATTTAAAATATAAACACACGTGGCAAATGTTAAAAAGGATACATGTCATCCCACGTGGCTAGACGTTAGCCACCTCACCTGATTTTTAACGCCGTTTGTTTTAGAGGACAAAAAATTATGGTTTCCTTAAGGGGAGGGATCAAAGCGTACAAAGTTTGAAAGAGGGACGAAAAACAAAATCGCTTGATAGTTGAGGGACTAAAAACATATTTAACCCTTATATTTATTATAAAAATTGTTATAAAATATAACTATTATACTCAAAAAGTAATTATGTAAATTCATGAATATTTTGTAATATTCCATTTTTAATAGTAAAATACAACTAATATGAATATTACATATATGATAATGGAATTACTATAAGAAAACAAACGTACGAAAGACAAGATCTACACTTGTAAAATCATTTGACTTTCCAATTATTTCACCTTTACCTCTCGTTGGAGCAATTGTAAAGTAAAGAATGTCTATCTGAGCTCACACCATTAAGGTGATCATTGTAAGAGAGAAAACATACACAAAGACAAATGACACAAAAGAAAGGATAAGCTAGAATACAAATAATTCATGATACAAAAGAACATTTAAACATTATACACATTATACACCTTTCACACAAACGACCAAACACTTTATGCATGCCAACACTTTGACTAGATTGTCAGAACTTAGAATAAATGTCAAGTTATATCGTTGTTTGTTCCACACCTTGGATCATATTGGAAGCACCCAAGACTAAGATTTACTGCTACTCTCACCACATGTGTCAAGCCTCTCTATATGAGAATGTATGACTATTAAAGTGTCAGGAAAACCCTCAAGATTGAGCTACCTGCATTCATTCTAACACACTTGAACCACACCAAGAAGTTCCACCTTGGAACCAACCTTCCAAACTTTGAAATCATATACATATGTCCATACACTTTCACATTTAAATACCAACATATATCATCATTGTTCATGCATCAAAGTACCATAAACAACCCAATAATGCATCACAATTCAATTAAAACATAAACATGGAAATATACAAGGTGACTGATGTGTGAATAAAAATGTAATTGCATTCATATCTTAGTTTAGGCCATTTGCATACATAATTGCATTAATTGAATAACGATACAAAGCTCTAAGAACACTCTCATTACTTCTCGCACAAGGAATTTCTAGAAACACCTACGAATCACCAAATTAAAAAGGAAAGACTCCTTAAGACCTTAAATTAACAAGGAAACTCAGAGAAAAGGTCAAAGTACACATGCAAATGGAAACTTTCATGCATGGACTCAATTAAAGAGCGATGAGCAAAAAGGAGTTGAAACATACTTGTTTTAGTGTAGAAACCAATCGGATACGAATGTAGACCTCGTCATCGTGGTCAATTAGACACCTCCTGATCATCAAAGAGATGACTTAGAACTCTTATAGAGAAGGTAGAAAACTCTAAAAGAGTGTTTTATAGAAAGATGATACATTTTAAAATAATGAAAGTCATTTATAACAAAATTATTTATAAATAAACAATTTTATATTAAATAACCGAATTTCACTGTTTTTAAACTATCACCACTCCTAAAATACCATTGTTTGGGTTTTACACATTTACCAATTTAATTATTATTTTACATTTTACTATTCACAAATTTATATTTATAATTAAATATTTTAATATATTATATAATAAAATTGATTAATTATTTAAGTCTTTTTCATACATCAAAATTTCTATTTAAGTATATTTATATCTAAACATAATTACAGCATCTAAATATATTTATGTAAATAAATTATTCCTTAAAGTATAATAATTACTACATTAATTTTCGTAATAAAATTTTAAGAAATAAGTACAAAAACAACCATCACGGATCTCAAACTAATTTTAAGGAAAATCAAGATCAAAATCTTATCACATTAACACACTTTTTATAGAGTGACTTAATAAAAAAGTTAAAGAAAATAAAAAATTATAAATTTCACTTTCTTATTAATAAAATACTAATATTTACTGTTAAAAAAAGCCAACACCTTAAAACTATGTGTCGTTGGTAGCCCTAACTTTCTACGAGGCAGTGACGCATCGTTGCTATAGATCGCGTGTGTTCTGCACATAAAAAAGCACCCATTAAAAAAAAAGAAAACACTTATTTACCTGTTTTGGAAGATTTCGTTAACAATTTGACTTACATAACAAAATTCTTATTTTCATATTGCATTTAGATTCGCTCTGTTAAAAAATCAAAACAATTTCAATAAACTCAAAATAAAAAAAACTAATGAGATATCGTCAACTTTAAATGATAAATTCTAAAATTTAATCAACCATAAAAAATTATTTTCAAAAGAAATTAAAATATCCACAGTGCAATTTAGAAATATGTATAATTTCAAAATTAAAATAAAAATATGTTTAACTGGCTAATTTCTTAGAATATATTTATAGAAAAAAATTATCAGAAGAACGGTAAATGGAATTAATTCGAAAAAAAAATGATGTGTGGAAACAGGAAAAAGTCTATTGCGTGGAAACTACACATCGGTCAAAGCTTCCGCATATCTTTATTTATTCTCAATGATATTTAATCAATGAAAAACTATAAAACGAATTTAGATTTTTAATTTAAATATATAAAAAATCTAAAGGTACTATAATGAAAAAAACTTAAATTAAAATAAATATAATTAATTAGTAAAATTAAAAAGAAGTGTGGAATTTCCACTCTTGAAAAAACAATGGCTATTGAAAACACACACGAGGTATAATCGGGGTAGGAGAGAGAAAGCGATATTTAAGAAAAAAGAAGGAGAAGAAGAGAGAGAGAGAAAAAGTGAAGAATGATAGCCATAAATAAATATACACATAATTTCAATTATTAGCTCAAAGCCTTTCCTTCTTTGTCCTCTATCCTCACACCAAACGCTCGAAATATCAACCCCCACTCCACCACCGTCACCGTCACCGTCGCACCCTCACCGCCTTCTCACCCTATCAACGCCCTCACACACATCACAACAGAACAAAACAAATCTCCTTCACAAACACGAGACCCTAAAACCTTCGTTTCTCTTCCTTCTTTTTTTCTTCTGTCTTTCTTTATTTCTTTCCCGTTTTGCCCTTTCGGTTCTCTTCAATCTTCTCTCTCCTTTTTCTATGGCTTCTTCGCTTCTTCTTCTTCTTCTCCTACTCCTTTACGTTTCTGTGATTCAATTCGCGTCTGCGTTTTCTTCTTCGTCTTCTTCTTCTTTGTGCCTTCCTCAGCCACCTTCGTTTCTGTATAATCTCCAATCGCAGTGTCCAATCTCGATCCCGTCGAATCCGCCTCTCCAGGTACCTCGGTTTTCAGTTTTTGTGTTAATTTCCGCGTGTTGAGGTTGTTTGCGGTGTGTATTTGTGGATTGTTGGATTTTGTTTCGATGATTGGATTGTTTGATCTTTAACCTATCTGCCAAATATTTTGTATCAAATTTTCATGGTGTGTTGTCATGGAGAATCTTTAAGTTTCTTTGTGAAAGAGGCCGTGGAATCTGATAAGATAGATATGGAATCTCATAAGTGAGATGCGGAGTAATTGTTTGCATAGTTTTCTTCTGTCTGAAGAAATTCATCGAGATTATGATATTGACGCACCGGAGTTCGTTAAATAATCAGGAATAATGGCGATGTGTCGATTGATTCATGTATTTGACCTCACCTGATTGAATAAGGTGTTTTTGGTGCTACGGTTGTTTGGATGGTTTGATGAACCTGGGTTCTGAAATAAACACATGGTAATAAGGATCTTGTAAATGTCCATTGATGGGGATAATTTCATGCATGTCAATGATTTTGAAGTTCTTGATTTGTAGGTTTTATGAAGATAATTTCTCTTAATTTCCTTGTTTTGGTTAATTGTCTGATATTTTAAAATTTTATGGAAAACAACTGAATGTATTGTGTTGCCTTGGACCTTGAGTGTATTTTTGTTAGGTTAAATATTGGTGTGCTTAATTACTTGTAAACAATTGGCTATTATTCTGTTTGCGATTTTGTTGGATCATTTGGGATCAACCTGAGATGTGGGATCGGTTAGTTAAAAGCAACCAAATTGAGGACTATTTTGAGTTTAGGTTGGGGGATTTAAAGCCTTCCATGGGATCATTTGGGATCTTTTACCAAGCATGTAGAGAAGTTTAAAATATGTATTTTATGTAGCTGGTAAGTACTAGTTGACTTCATTGTTTTTACTTTGGTGTCAAGGTCGCATTGGTATAACAGTATAATATGTCCGTTTGATGTCCTTTAATAACCTAGGGAATGATCCATTAGTATCCATGGAATTAATCAACTTGTAATATAAATACACATGGATTATTGCTTTATTTCATCAGCAGAATGCATAAACTTCTCGTTTTTAACTCTCAACATTAAATTTCTTACGGATGGTAGCTTGGCAATACATTGTTAACTTTGATGATGCTCTCTAACATCTTCTGAACCACTTGATGGGACAACTTTCGTTGTATTTCTCTTCATTGGGGGGAGGGGATTTCCTGTGAATATCTTCGTTGTATTTTGCTCAGGAAAATCGATTACGTTTTTAGGATTTCAATCAAATCATTCACACTGAAGCTTTAATCGAAATCCCAATTAATTTCCTCGTTTTGCACGTACTTGTTAAACCATTAATCACATAACCTGCCAACAAAATCAAAATTTCTTTAAAGTGAAGCAAACAGATGATGTTGTAAAACTTGTCCTTATTTCACCATGAAGAATTGCTCATATCTATTAAGTCCGTTATTCCACCAGCACTCTCCTGAAATAATTTTGTTGAATTTAATTTGCATTTTATGAACCTTTATATGACCCACTGTCATATGCTTGGAATCGTGATAAGCATTTTTAACTAAATTATTATCCAGTTCAAAAACTATTTTTTTACTCATTTTCTTCATTGCTTAAAGCTAGTCAAGTACCAGAAGCTCAAAGTGTCTAAAATATAAAATCAGAATTACAAGTATTAATATTACATTAGATAATAGTATTTTTTTTTCTCATTAGTGGAATTACTTCAGTCGGACCAGATCACCTTGGACTGTTAATTTCTAGTTTATTATACTCTTCTTTCTTTTTAACTGGATTCTAGCTCATTGATTGATCGTCACTTTTTTATATATTTCTTCTAAAATTGAAATCCATTCTGCATCAAAGAGAACATTTAGATCAATGTTAATGAACTACCATCATTGATTTTGCAACTAAGTACTATTACTTTTTGTAAACTTTGTTATATTAAATGACTACTTATCTGTAATGACTAGTTGGAGGAATGCACAAATTCCTTGGATATTTGAGAGCTACGAAGCTCGAACACCAGAAACAACACTGATACAAACACTACACCAACATGTAGGACACATAGACATGTGTGTGTAGCATCATTATGAATTATTTAAATTGATAATCAACATTTATATATTCAAAATCATTTAAAAAAAGTTAGTCGAATATAAGATTTTGAACAATAGGCAGCTCTGATTCCAACTTGAAAAAAACATATGAAAAGGAACTTGTGATATCTTAAGTTGGACTTCTCTAATGATTCATATTCAAACCAGTATTTGCTTAAAAAATAATATAAACCATTATGTAATCTTGAAAAAATGTATAAATAAAAAAGTTTAGTTAATCACCTTGGATTTAAGGAGTGAGCTAGATAATGAAGAGGGGTTGCTACCCATTGATCAATTAATATTGAATTAACCACTTCACAAAAGGTTGAACCTTCACTTTCTTCCTTTCTCCCATAGTCATATATGACCTTTTCAGCTTTTCAATCATTGAATTCTACATTTCTTACACTAGGTGAGGAGAAGAAGCTATCGAATGGGTTCTTCTAAGAACATTATAGATTGGTAAAGCATGTAATCTTTCATATCCCACCAATTATAGGTTTTACTCTTATATATGGGTGATTATATTTTTATATGGATTAAAAGCTATCCATGTTTAGGGTTTTGACTACTTTTGTGATGGTTGTTGAGGACCTAGCATAATCATCTTCCTTTATTTGGACTGGCTATGAGATCATATGTGAATTTTCTTGCCTATAAATATAAAAGGGTATTTTTAAGCTGTCAGGTAGACAGAGACCGAGTTCTAATGTACACACCATGACCAAAAATAGTGAAGTGACCTTTGAGCAGTCTGTCATTGGTTGGAAATATTAGGGCTGGCCAAACAAACAACAGCAAACACTGGGTTTGACATAGTTTGAAGACAAAAAGTTACATTTTGGTCTGAACAACTGTGGAAGAAGGGTTTTGAATTAATAAAACCATTATAAAATGGAGGGGATTGACAGTATATGCTGTTTCAGGGGTAATTTCTCATTATCATGGTGCATAGACTGTTAGACAATTAAAAGTCTGTTAGAGGAGAGAGAGTAGTCTGTTAGAGGAGAGAGACTAGTCTGTTAGAGGAGAGAGTATAAATAAACAAACAGAATAGAGGGAGATGATATGAGATAATTTTCTTGCCTTTGGGTAGAGACTGGATGTTTCCAGTGGAGGAAGGGAGGCTTCCTTGGGGAAATACTTGCTTGTTATTCTGTTCTTTCATACTTTACAGAATTAATAAAGTTCATATTCATACAATTGCTTCTTTTTGTTGAGTGTGTGTGAGAAGATTCTCATCTGTTACGGTCCCTGAGTAAAGGAAGCTAACATAGACGCTGCCCCAACTGATATTGAAATGGCTCTACTAAATATATGATATTGAAGATTACTATAAGTAGCTATCCTACTAAAATTCTTTCCCCAACAAACTCAATGCGCTGCCATTAAAGAAATAATATCATTAACCTGACTTCTTGTTAGGTAACCCAACTGGTTTGTTGGGCTAGGTCACATGTTGGTCAAGCCCAAAGCCAGGGAGTCTGCATTTTACGTACTCATCATGAAACAACATTTTGAGTTTGCAATGGCTCATCTTGCAAATTTATTTGGCTGGATATAAATGATTTTGTTACATTGATAATGGTAATAAGTTTCCTATTTTAAAATCTGTTACTTGAATTTTCATCGTGTCAAGGAATTAGTCTCTTCACGGACTGAAATGTGCACATTATGAGTAAAGGGGACAGATTGGCTTTGGGAATATATATGTTTTTGGCTCATTTTGTTAGTCAAAATCAAAGATGACAACTGACAAGCGGATAACAGTTTCTTTTCTTTCCATTCACCATGCTAGGCATTTCTATCATTTTCAAGCCCAAACGTCTTCTTCTGACTGAATGAGTGAATGTACCCAAGCAATAATATTTAGACAAAATAAACTGTGTTTGTCATTATTATGCCGTATAGCTTTGCTTATGTAGATTTGAATAGATAATCATTTAATTTTAAGATTTAATTATGTTTTCCAGGCTTTATTAAATTGCATATTCTGATGACGTTTATTTTATTTTCATTTTGATTTGTTTAGGTGGATGGAGATTTTTTAGACAGAGTTCTGTCTGGCAGCAAGAGTATAGAGTATATTTCTATACTCTTCTATGCCTCCTGGTGCCCGTTTTCTCAAAAAATGCTTCCTCAATTTGAAACTCTTAGTTCGATCTTTCCTCAAATAGAACATTTGATTCTCGAGCAATCATCAGCTTTGCCAAGGTTTTGAAGCTATCCCTGCTCTATTTTTTAAATTTTTGGATAAGGATGAAACTAATTTCTTTTGCTGTATGCTGTTTGCCGGGTCTGGTGATGGCCTACAATTTGATGTAGTTAATTATTCCTGGTTCAGCAATAACTAATTTCCTATTGAGGAATTCTAGTGGTACACTCAATGACACTCTTTACCAAATTCTAAATATTAATAGATGAAGTCCATGTGTATTCCACTGAATATGAGTATGATCCGCAAAGTAAAAACCTATATCATTAGTGGAATCTACATGGATTTCACCCAAAGATAGTGTGTCAGGCATTCTGTTGTTAGCATTGATCAATTTTCTGTTATTTAGGCTAATGCCATAACTAATAGATATATTCTTTCCTTTTCTACACTGTATTTAATTTATATTTTAGACGAGATTATGTCCCACAACAGGCTTACCTTTATAATTGTCTGTTGATGTCTGCATTTCTTTTGCCTTGCAGCTTGTTTTCTCGATATGGAATCCATAACTTGCCTGCAATATTACTAGTGAACCAGACATCAGTATTGAGATATTATGGACCAAACAATCTCCTTTCCGTGTCAGAATTTTACGAAAGAAACACGAGTAAGCATATCCCCATTCTTGTTTGTAAATATGTTACCATGTATTGAAGAGAATCAATTTTCCTCTCCAATTAATTGCTAACACAGCTTTAGAAACTTCAACGACTGAGTTTTATTTTACCTAATTTACCTCCATTGACTGATCTATCTGCTTGTTCAGGGTTAGCGGCAACTATTAATATTGTTGATCAAGCTAGCAGCATGACGAGTGATGATAATTCGTCTATGAATCTGTTTGGTTTGTCTCTGAAAGAAACATGGAGCAGGGACCCCTACTTGGTATTCTCTGTATTGTTTCTTTGTTTGAGGCTGCTCCTCTTTGTGTTCCCGAAGATCGTCTCACGTCTCCGAGCATTCTGGGTTTCTTGCATTCCTCATCTGAATCTGCAAATATTTGGTGAGACGAGCCAAGTAATGGGACGTGTGCTTCAGGTGATAGATGTCAGGAGGATTTGGAACAGGTTAAGACTGTGCAAGATTAGAATTTTTCAGGAAAGGGCAAGGAGTGCCCGAGCTTGGGCTTCATCTCTGGCTTCTGTTTCTCTTGGTGAGTCATCATCAGCTAGGTCATCCACACAAGGTTTGAATTAACAGCCTTCTTACCATGTCATTTTTTGAGGGTAGTTTAATAGTTTATCTTTATCAGTTATATCATATCCTCAGGCTTGCAGTGAAGCTTGGCAGCTCATAGTCTTCTTCTCTCTTGCTAATTTTGTTGTAGTATACTAATAGCCAAATGTTGATTTATGTTCTAAGCTGGGTTTTGAGAGGAAGCGAACAGGCATGTAAATTTGAGAAGTGTTTCCTTTCGTGTAAATTAGTTGTTTCTGAATGAAATCATACACGTTACTGTGGAATAAGCATCCTAGCTACCCTTCCCCATCATACTTATTAGCCCCACTTAAGCAATTTGAAGTACAACCTACTTCATTATTTTCCAAGTATGGAAGATAGAGAAAACTGCTGCAGGTATTTATCTATCAACTAAATTTTTCACTAATCTCGTGTATGGCCAAGTGGCAATAAGGATCCATCCCATCTTTATAATAATAATATTTTATAACACTCCTTTAAACAATTCATATTGTTTGAAATAGGTAGGAATCTACCAAATATTTTAGGTTCTACATTTTATTTAACCAGTTTTACTGGGGATTCTTGTTATACTGGCATCCTTATGCTTCCGAAACACGGTTCATGTGTTTAGTTGGGTAGGCAACTAAAGTGAACATTCGAAAAATTGATTTTGGAATTTTGGTTGTCTAAGCCGGGCAGTCTTTTGCAATAGAAACCGGTTCATCGATGTTTCAATTTCGGGATTTGGCTGATGGAATTACAAGGAAGAGGGGCATGCAGTAGAAATCAGTTCCATGAATGGAGGAGTGTCTCTAAATTTCAAAAGATGCCATTTTAGAACGCGATAATCAAATTACAACTAGTCTTTATTTTTGTTATTTTGAAGGATGAAAGGGTAGTAACTTCAAAACCACCCTAAGAAATAGTTTGAAATTATCTGCCATTTAAATTATATTTCTGTATTTCTAAAGTCTAATTTGACCTTTCTTCGTGGTTGATTTGAAGGATAGATCTGATTTATTTATCTTTTTTGTCAATTGGTAACCACCTCTTATAAAATTTGGGGAGAACAGAGAAAAAATAGCAGAAAATTTGGACTTTATTTCAGGGTATTACTTATAATTGAAAAAAATGGCCACGAATAATTCCTCGGAATTTATTCCTTGAGTTTCTGACCTGTGTCCTCGGCGCTTGGACTGTTGTATGTTATGATTAGACAGTAAGTTTACAGAGGTAAAACGCTTAGTTAACTTTAATTAAACTAATATTAGTTTATTAATGTAACATCCTACATTCCTAGTAGATCTTTCATTGATCTCTCTCCCTAGACTTTTAGGAAATCCAAACTTTTAATATAAACATCAGAAGTGATTATGTGGAAACGAAAGCCTCTAAAAGTAAATTGCTTAAATTAATACAAATATTTTGACACTTTGGATGTACAGATAAGGTAAAATTAACTCGGTGAGATGTACAATTATTGATCTTCTGCAGCAGTTCCTAGTTCTTACTCTGAGGACTTTTGTAGTAGTAGTTATTGTTTTAGGACTGCAGGGTGATTTTAACATTTTGGGTGGTTATGAACAATTCTTATATTGGATCCTCTAGTCCTTTATCATGGATCTCCCGAAAATGTTTATATTGTGTTTAGATGGCACATTTAAAGGGTAATTTAATTTTCTAGTTAATTTTAAACGCTTTTGTGATTATTTATATATGTTGTTTAAATGATTTTTTTTAAAAGAAAATTAAAATTAAAAAAAAAACTTATTGGAGTAATTTAATAATTATTAGGATTATATAATTTTAGATTTCACTTGAAATATGAGAAATTGAAATTTATGTATTTTAATTTTTCATATATATAATTATTTTTATAATTGTTTGACTGGCAAGAGTGTTGTTGGTTTGACAATAGTCGATGTATTATCAACTCAGATTATTTTGTTTACGTTAGAGAGTATATTTTTTTACCAAAGCGGATTAGAGTTTTACTATTGATATCCATTTGTTACTTTTATTTTTTCATTGACGTTGTTTCAATTTTTTTTTTCAAATATAATTCAAAATTGTTCTTTTTTATCAATATTGATGACCTTGTTTTCTGTTGATGTCAATTAAAATATTTTCAATTACTTGTTAAAATTATTTTTTCTTAATGTTTATATAGTTATTTTTTAATTTACACTATTAGTGTTATTTTTTTTAGAATTTCATCACATGTTTTTTAATTTTTTAATATTGAGGAGATATTTTTGAAAAACTTTTATAATATTAGTTGAGAAAAACCTTTGTGAAATATAATAAAAAAATATGTATAAGATTAATATTATACATAGTTTTTACTAGTGCTATATGAGGTTACGATTTGGTAAATAAAATTTTTTATGGTCATTTTATCTCATGAGGTTGTTTGATCCACATTATGCTAAGTTATAGAGTAACACGTTATTAACTTTAGTATTCCTAAAAGTAGTCGGACGAGCCAAATAATGACTGTGGTCATACAGGTTGTGGTGATACATGTTGGTATGTGTCTAAGTAAAAGTAGTTAAAGAGATCAACTTGTGGTCGGGTAGAAGTAGTAAGATATGTTGACTTGTGGCTGAGTAGTTCACTATTAACTCTAATTGGTGACATATAGCTCTTAGTACGCAACATATAGCTCTTAGTACGCAACATATAACTCTCCAAGACTGAGAGAAGGTGTGCCTACAGAAGACACTTTGACACCTAAGTTAATTGAGTGTATGAGATAAGAATTATTGTTGTAATAATGAATGTAAGCTATTTACTTTAATGGTTTTACTATTAATAGAATAATTGTGACGTTCATGGACCTTCACCCATATGGGTTTGGGTGGGTCTAGCGACCATATACTTCATGAGCTTGTTGTTTGATCTAGATTATGCTAAGTTATAGAGTAACACGCCATTAGCTTTAGTAGTCCCAAAGGTAGTCAGACATACGAATAATGGTCGGATAGTGGTGGTCATACAAGTCGGTATGTGGCTGAGTAAAAGTAGTCAAAGGGGCCAACTTATGGTCGGGTAGAAGTAGTAAGATAGGTTGACTTGTGGCCGAATAATTCATTATTAACTATAGTTGGCGGCACATAGCTATCAGTATGCGACACATAATCTTGGTATACTTGGTATACAACACATAATTGTAGACGACATGTAGTCTTGATAGATGACACATAACTCTTGGTAAGCGACACATATTCGTATAGATGACACCTCACTTTCAATAAACAATACATAAAGTCTGTTATGCACTAAGTTGTCATAGGACGAGGTCAATATTAATAAAGTCAAAGGATAATTGTTCATGTATAGAAACCCTAATTATTAAATTTTGATTCTAAGTACTCCATGCATTTGGAGCCATTTCCTGTAAGACTCATGGTTTAATGAGACACAAACAAGTTTTAAGTAAAAAAAATGGACATATCAAATCCATCGGTTATTTTAGTTTCATTAAAAATAATATAAAAAGTAAAAATATAAAAAATAAGAATTATATTTCTTTTAAAATTCAGGTCATGTAAATAAAATTAATGTTAATTTTATCATATTTTATATATAAATTTTAGTGCCTAATGTATCTTTAGTTANAGATCACACTAATTCCATAATAAAATATTACATTTTGTGAAACATAGACTAACTAAATTTTAAATAAATACATTTTGGCTAAATATTAAATTAGCTACATTATTATTTACTCATAAAAGTCAAACTAGCAAATTAATAAACACTCATGTTATCTTTTCCTAAGACTCCAAAGAATAGATCCAATAAACTATGATAAACTGAAGTAGAACCATTATCTAACTAAAGCTTCTGAAAACCTTCCCTTTAAGGATGTTCTAAAATATAAATGATCCCATAAGCTTAACATAAACGTAGAAGTTTACACTCCTAAAAGTAACTTAAAAACTATTCATATATTATCTCTGTTTTTTTTCTTCTAAAAATATTAACACATGTAGCTAAACCATGATAAACACTAGTTGCACTATTAGTATTAACCTTATGTCAATTAATAAATGAAACTTGTCATATAATGTAACATCCCAAAATATAGTAATTACCATAAATTAGAACTAATCACATTTACATGATTAAACAGTGCAGTTTTAACTAAATCAGCTATCAAAGCCGAACGTTAAATAGATACAAGGTTCAAAAATTAATACAGGAATAACCAAGGTCCAAGACGAACGGTTTTACAAAAGCTAATAACCGAACGTCCCAAAATTCTAAGTAAGCTAAACCTACTGGACGATCTAAGTCTCGGCCTTCACTTCGACGTCCACCAGGTTCTCTTCTTCAACCACTTCTTCCAAAAGAGTGTCTCCATCTGCTCACATCCACACGGATGATCATTGCATGGACAAGACGGACGTACATAAACAGTAGACAACACAAGGAAACGCAAGGGTAAGCTTAGGTAATTTAATTCATACAACCAACATACAATTTAACATGTACAAATAAACATACAAGACATACAACAATTTATCAGCATAGAATTAATCATTCAAGCTCTCACAAGACCGACCGTCCGGACTGTATGAATCCATGTATCTACAGGCGTTCGTGCACTCGGGTGATGTGATAACTGGAAACACTCAACAGCTGCCACCCGAGGTTAGCCCTATCAGTCCAAAGTACTCATTAGGACTAGGACCTCCTGCCATTCCCACACATGACCTACTCCCCTCTACATGAGGACGAGCACTCACGGAATATCAGGATGAACAGCCATCAACAGCTTTACCATGGTCATACTACACAACTTCTCATATTCAAATCATAGAGACGTTCCTCCTTGGAATGCTCGTTCAAAATCCATCATCATAACATTTCTCCAAACATGGTTCACACTTCAGAATTTTGCACTTTATCTTCATTTTCATCTTTAGTTTTAAGGGTTTAAAATAACGAACGTTCAATCCTCTGAAGAACGAGGACGAACGCTAAAGACTGGATTTACGACAACTCGTTCCAAGATTTGAAGAAAACGACACTAGGTACTTAACGAACGTTGAGGCTATTCAATCAGTTGAGGGGAACTGACTCTACAGTTATGAAATCAATATTCATAAAAATACTAAGTATACATGCTCTAGGCCGAATCCAAATGTATAAGAATACAAAAGAGAAGTATATAACTTTACTGATAATAATCATTCAAAAGAAATCGACTGCTAGTGAATGACCGAACGTCAACTAATAATTTGGACGAACGCTATTTACGTCCGTGCTGGAA